ACAAAGCTTTCATAAAAGGATTTCGTTAAGTTTCTCATGACTCCTCGGCAGTACAGATAGAGATTTTAAAAGATTTTCAAAACTTTAATTTTTAAATGGATGTTAGCCATGCCAAAGTACCCGTATTTGATGAATGGTTTAGGGGAAAAAGGCAGTTTTCTAACAAAAATTTGTAGCACCTTGAGTGTGAGTTATCTTTTAAAATTTCGTTACAAGTAGGAATTTGATTCTGAAAAAAGTTTGGATAGAGGTGAAAACAGAGACTCTGGATACTGTAAGATAGCGTCTGTGGAAACACGGCTAGTTCTCTAGAATGAGAAGTGCAACCTTAATTGAAAAGCCTTTTGCGGAAGCAGTTGTGGACCCAAATAATTTCAAAAACATTTAAATCTTTACTTGATTCAGAAGGTTGATTAAGTACATGCAAAGCATCTATAAGAACATACTGGAAGGAAAGCCTGTTTATTTCCAATTGATTGCTGTAAGTTATTTACTTATTTTTACATGCTTATGTTTTAATTATCTACATGACCAATTCACAAGCATCCACTTCAAATATTAATAATGATAATAATCTTATTTTATTTTTAGATGAAAAAGATGTTTCTTTTCTGCTTAAACTAGATGTAAAATCTGATGTTATATTCCCTATTGGTAAAGAAAAAATTGAAGAAATATATAGAGATATAGATTATAGTTGTAAGAATAATATAGGATTTAATTCTGTGAGAACTCATAACGAAATACGAAAAGTAGAAGATATTATAATTAGACATAGAAATATACAAGAAGAAATTTCAGAAGGCTTATTTAAAGGAGACATAACTAAAAAAGGACAACCTATAATTTTTGAAGAACTTTTAATATACAGAGAATATTTAAAGGTGTTTGAAAGGCTGAAAAATATAGATATAGGACCTGATTGATAAGACCTTAAAAGATAAAGGATATATCTCATAAATAACCTTAGTAAGGGTAAAGTAGTACTTTTAACAAATTAGGCTATTGTGGAAAAGTGGAATAATTTCCCAGCCATTCTCAAAATTATCCCGTTCAAAATTTGAGTGACTACTACTGTAAAAAAATTATATCAATTGCCATTTTGAAATTCTGTGAAAATTTCAATGTTCGACGCTGAAATCAATCCAGAAGTTGAGATGTGTTTTTCTTAATAAAGACAAATTCTATGTATATAAATAATTAATTATGTAAAGACGATGATCAGTCTAATCGTGATTATTTTGTGAAACATAAGTAATGGCTGCATGTATACTCCCCAAATATATCCTGTAATTAAGCATAATAATATTAAAATGACTTTGAAATAGCAATATTATCATAATGACTTGGTCTTATAATAATAATAAAAAAATAAATTATTTTTTATAATTGAAATACGATTCGAAGTGTGAAAATGAGTGCATTAGATGTGCATTTTAACTTTCCTTCATGTTTTTCTTGGGTTTGGTTTGGGTCGGTATGTGAGTGGGTGGGCATTATAGTTATATGTCAAAATCGTTAACTTTCAAGTAGCAAAAATGAATTGAGATTTGCTATCCAATAATATGCTGTCCACTAATGATTCATTGACACATCATTTTACACATATTTTTAAGTACAGGTGGCAGTGAAAGAAAAGTTAGACATGCTAATTTAAAGTGATGTGTTAATGAATTATTGGTTGGATAGTCAATTTTGGACGAGACCTCAACTCACAAAAATAGAAATTGATCCAAGAGTGACTCCATTTATGGATGGTGCCATTCAAAGAGGGGCCAAGGTTGATCGTTGGCACGAGAGATGAGGCGGACGGTCCTCTTGATAGTGCAACCTATCTCGAAAAATGAATGACCCAGGGATAGTCTTGTATGTCTAAGGTAAGTGATAGATCCCTTGTAGATGCCATATTGGATAAAAATAGAAGGATTATTCTTGTTTACCAACGGGACATAAGCCCTCATAATGTAACACTACTCAAAATATAACTCTAGAAAAAGTAACGGCTATTAAAGGAACCAAATCAAATATTCAATTGTGACAGGGACGATGGCCTACCGATAGGGTCAAATCAATCGATTCAACAACCAACAAGGTCTAAAATACCCCTAATTTAAACTCATCCAAAACTCCGTCTATTTATTTTCTCACAACCTATTCCAATATGTGACTTGAGTGTCGCGATGTGAATGAATATTAGACCTCCTTCGAAACGACATACATGCATTGTAAAGAAATGTTAATGTGCAGGTAACTCGTGCGGACAAAGAGGTGGTTGAAATCTGTTAATAGCAATGCCCACAAGATATGGAGGTAGACAATTATGGTTATTCTATTAATTGTTTGAGAAATTTTGTTAAAATTTCAGATACTGAGTCAACGAAGTATTAAGAGCATCTTGAACAAACTCTATTTTAAAAAATATATTTTGCAATTTAGAAAGTAAAAAATTTTAAATGCTTCAACAACCTTTTTATATTTAACACTTAGGATATGTTTGATTGCAAGTATGGAACTTGTATAAAATAAAAGAAGAAGTTATAATCAATTGAATTGTTTACAACTTATTTGCATTAAAATTGTCAATTAAATATGTTTGATTGACTTAATTTTCAACCTAAAAATTATTGTAATTTTTCATGTTTTATTGATGGGTAGATGATAGAGAAAATCAAGTTGAATTTTTGGAAAGTGTGAAGTGCACGGAAAACGTTTAACCTACTCCTGTTCAAAGAAAATGTTTTACTTATTTTTTAGAAAAATATAATCAAGTGACCAACTTTTGAAGAATATTTTCTATAAAAATACACCATAAAAGTAGAACTTGGATTAAGAAGAAGAACAAGAAGAAGAAGACGACATTTTCAATTAAAAATAAAGATGATCAAACACACCTTTAATTTTATTACTGTCGATATGTATTTAGCCCTCGTTTGATAGCAATTTTTTCACACTAAAAAATTAATTTTTTACACTAAAAAATCAATTTTTAACAATTATTTCACTATTCCAGTTTTCATTTTTTACTCTTTTCACTCACAGGTGGGATCCACTTTTTTTCCAAAGGTCAAAAAATCAATTCTCATAATCATTACCGAACAGGCCCTTGATATGGAAATTTTCACCAACTTCTTTTCAAATTATTATATTATTTTCTTCTATTTTCTTTGTATATTCTATTTAGCTAGATCAATATATGAATCGTTGAAAATTTGGATATTTTGTCTTCAATTATAAGAGAGTCAAACTTACTCTCTATTTTAAAAGAATAATGCTATATAACACAAATTTATGTAACATCATGTGATAAAGTCAAGTAAAAGGTAAAATTATGTGGTTCACTTAATTATAAATAATGTTATCTAGCATCATTGGAGCTACATAACCAATTTAGATGACGTGATGTAATTGACTCAATGAAATGTAGAATTAAGTAACTAATTTAATTATATATCTTATTGAACGTCATATTAGTGTCACATAGATGATGTCTTAACACCAGTTACGTTAAATATTATTACTCATTTAATAACACTTAGAACCACCTAAAGTGGTGTTGTAACACCAATGATATTAATTAGCATAAGTTATTGTAAAATTTTAATTTGAATAGTTTCCTGAAACAACATTTTAAGGGTTTAAAATAACTCATTCTAAGAGAGCTTTCACTTTTTTAGAATCATTTAGAGATGCCCTAATTCCTGTTTGGTACATATAAAATTAGCTTTTTAATAAATTTTAATAAATTTTAATAAAAATTGGTGAAATAAGTAACTAATAAATTAATAAAAATCATGAAATTCATAAAATATGCTATTGAGAATGAATTTTGAAAATTAAAAACCAAACAAAGGGTAAATATCTTCGACATTACTCCTTTGCATCACTAAAAAAAGCTCCAAATTCCTCCTTTTAGAGATTGTCCCATTCTACTCTAATTAGTTGAATTAGAAGCATGCGCGTAATTATAATTTAAGCGAGTTTTAAATAGATTTTATAATACCAGATGAAAAAATGAATTGGATCCTTGATTTCTGCCTCGATTTGAAGTGGGTCAGATCGTTGAATTTATTATTTTGTTTCAATCCAGTCAAATCGTCCAAACTCATGTGCTTCAGTGCTTGGATCAAAATTACTGTACACTCTATTCTCTTTTACGAGAAATGGGATTGAATGGAACAAAGTTGAGTAACGCCCCCAAACTTGTTTAAAGTTTTTGATTATTGTCAAGACCAAACAAACAAATATATTGTAGATAAATATAAATATCTTTAAATGCATCCAAATTTCAAGAAAGGAAATGACAATATTTCAAAGGTAGACGATAGAATCTAACATAGGATAAAGATACTTGGACAGTCCAAACAAGGCACCTAATTGGTGTCCCCCCTATTGGAGGGGCCCCCTATGTGGTCCAGGGCTTACGTGGCCTTGTCCGTCCAACATCTTCCTCTATCATAATTTAATTTTAGCACCATATCCAAGTGGCAGATTCTTTTGATGCCATCAAGTCAAGAGGCCATCTAACTCATGCACTTACAGCAGCAGCAGCATCGAAGATATGGTCGCGTCTACTTCTGATGAACTTTTCCCGGAATTGCTCAAATCTTCCTTCCTTAATTGCTTCTCTTATCAACCGAAAGAATCCCAGATAGTGGTGAGTGTTATGTCTGTAAAAAGGATATACACAATCTCATGTCAGGTAGGCAAGTATAACTTCTTGACAGTTGACAATAATACAACTGCGAATGGATCCGTACATTTCTAATAGAATCTGAGCCAACATTTCATGAACGTTAAACAAGTGATTTATATATGCCTTCGTATGATTCTGGCACGTGTAACAATTGCAACCCTCAACAATAGGCGACAAATCTTTTCTGTAAAGACAAATAGCAAAAGAAAACTATAGCAGTAAGTGTATTAATGAAGTCCAAGAAACAATAGCAAGAGAAATAAATTTGGACAAAGAAGACGAATGCATCAGTAGTTACAAGTTGCATTAAATTTGAGATGCAAAGTCATATTCTAGGAAATAACAGTCATTATGAGAAGAGTAATGCAATGCTATTTAGTACCAATGGCAATTTAAAATAAGTCTAGATAACAACATTTGTAGCATTAAATTATAAGTTTAATCAAATAAAAGGATTTCTTGCCCATTTAATAGGACATCTGATATGCTTTAAACTAGATTGATGTTCAACACCAGTTGTGCTAAATATCATTATTCTTAAAAAAATATATATAGGGTGATTATAAAAAGGTTTCAAAGTTACAAGGGTACTGAATAACATAATAATATTAGTTTTTAATATCACAAAAATTAAAATTAATAAAAAGCGTAGGCCATTAACAAGGGCTTATTATCCTCTGAAGATTAAGATAGGTGATTTTTCAATCCAATGAAATTCAATTATTTAATAATTCTTACAAAATTAAATTTCATGAATCCAAATGCATTAGCGTCTCTACATAGAAGTGTTCATTTTTTATATATCTTGAATATACTACTCACCCCTTTGTAAAGTGAACAACGATATAGTCTTTCAAAATAAAGCACTTTTAACTTCCAACTATGCACAAATATTAAGTTACAAATTATGATATCCAGTTTTTTTTTAAAAATTGGACATAAAGCTGTTATTTGCATAATTCATAATTTCATATAACCTAGAAACCTTAATATTTGCTTGAGAATTAATAATTAGAAACAATACTAAATCTCAGAATTAATAAATCACAATTTTTTGCACTTCGAATAGTAACTGGATACTTGGAATTACAGCAAGCCTTGACAGCACTATTCCTAACAATTACATCAATAATGGAGTCAAGAATATTATTTCAAAACTAAGATTTACAATGCAAGCTTTCCATAGGCTCCAAAGTTTACAATAAAATCAAAGTGGCTAAGAACAAAAAAGTACAGCAATTCACACCAGAAAGTATATAGAGATACGTGAAATTACATTTCCCACAGCAAATAATTTTAAGTCTATCTAATAAACCAAATAGAAGGAAAGAAGCTTAGTCATCAAGCCAATCAAACCACAAAGAGAACTACGTATGGAGCATTCCAACTACACAATTAATGAAATGATAATATGATAACATATATAAGCTTGATGTATCAATATTCATTTCAGCATGCAGCTACACAATCATAGCATAGATAGCAATGGTTCAAGAGGAATTTTCAATAGTACAGTAAAGCATTACCTGTAAATGGTTGCTTTGAGATTAATTTTTGTGTCATCAGAGCTAGTATCCCGTAGTTGATCATCGTAACCATGTCTACTGGTTTTCTCTGGATGAAATATAAGTGCAAAGCCCCCTAGTGTAAGATGGTAGATATACCTGTCAAACAATTATTAGTTCATTCGAGTTTTGTGGGAAAACTCATCGTGAAGAAACTGACGACATTCCTAAGCTTTAGCAACATACGCAGAATCAAATAGGTCAATGCCTGCAGCAACACCCTGCAAAACTTCCTCTACAAAATTGAAAAGTAGAAATGAATTTAGAATGAAAAACTCAATGAATGGTATACAAGATGGGGGAAAAAAATCACTGGAAGGAGTATTTCATCCTAAAACAGAGAGAAGTTGTCTAACAGCCATCAAGGAAGATTTGGGTCAAATCCACATTTGTTTTGGTTCATCAAACCACATACAGAGGATCAAACACTAAATTCCAGTTAACCTTTTTCTACTCAAGTAGCAAAAGCAATAAAAGGAAGATTCTAATAGAAAAAAAAATGGCAAGATCCAATAAAGAAGAGCTGATACCTGGAAGTCCAAGGCCACTTATCTGTCGTGGCTTTTCATCTGGTAAAATATCCTGAAATTTTAAGTTACATGCAAATAAGAATCATACTTTAAGCAAATATATCCATCAAAGAGAAGATAGAGTGAAGGTAAATTAGTGATGACATCAATTGAACTTAATCAGACAGGACAGCATAATATCCTAGCAATTTCTTCTCCTTTAATACGACCATGTCTCACTACTTCATTACAAGACATCTATTTTGAAGGAGACGGCCTCTTTCATGATAAACTTTTTCACCGAATAACTCGTCAGAATATTATCCAAAGAACTGTACAGTTGTTACACTTAACATGGTAACTCTCCGATGGAAATACTATTTAACGTGTAACTAATTATGCCTTTCTTGCAGAAGAACACATCTGAGTTTCAATAGAGTGACGCGCACGGTATTGTCATATAGCAGGGTCAACCAGTAAATATGATATTGCGATATGCAAAGTGAATTTAACTACTGAAAGCCCAAGATGAAAACCCGTTGCTTAAAACTTATGCGCAAGGATCAAGGACAGTTTTGCATATCAAAATGCAAGAGGGAAGCTAGAGTTCATAAATTAACAACAAAACTAAATCCCTGAGAGGGAAGAAAAATGGAAGACTGTAGAATTATCTGAATATGCACAATAGCCTGCTCAGTTCCAAACATTTTGATGTTTTTTTGCTTCTCCTGGAACTGGAAGCATGTTCTCTTCAAAGTCCACTTCCAGATATCTGGGAAAATTCACTGAACCTTATCTAAAAACTTGTGTGATAGGCAATTGATTTATGATGAGGATTTATGTCCTACTTTATATCAAAAAGTGAAAAGACACATAGATTCTTCTCTTTAAAAAGAATAGTATGTTGTCCATGGGAACAAGACAGGACATACTGTAACAGCACTGAGGAGGGCAGGACGCTCCTCCATACTCTCCCCAAGGCCAAAGCTGCCAATATAATAACCTGCATTGTACAATCACTTTTTAGGGTGGTAACAAAAGAAAATTAATTTACAAGACCATTAAATGAAATACGAAGTAAAAAGGGATATAAACAATATATCTAAACTGATGTGGCATTCGATTTGACTTAAGGAGCAAAAACACTGAAGGCCAACAAATTGAATAGGTTTCATCAAACCAAGAACAATGCTAGCAGTACCTCATAATGGCTCATCTAATTTTGCAGAAAGAACATTGACAAAATAAATGGCTACAAAAACCTGATACATTTTGCTGGGCAACTTCTTGTGCACAGCGTTGGCGTTCTTCAACACTAGAACCTCCCACAATGGATCCAAAAACAGCACCACCTGACTGTACTTCAACAGTTAATATGAGATAAATAAGAACCTGTTAAGAGCACGTTTGGTTTTGCTTCTTTCTACGAAAGACGTTACTTTTTTTGCCCAGAACGCACTGAAATTTTGAGCTTCTTTTGGTGTAAGGTGTCTTACTGTCCAAAGAAGATATTCTTTTGGCTACTTTTGTAGCATTTAAGCTAAATCAAAAACATGCTGTAAATCAATTATAAAAGCATGTAAAACAATTTCTTATTTTTTAACAATATGATTGAAAAGTGTCCAAGATATTTTATTAATCGGATACTAAGCATCTATACACCAGGCAAGCAGAAATCCTAATGTCTGCATTATAAGGAAGATTGGATAACATAGCTTTTGAGTAGACCTTGTATCATGTGTTGATGGATAAATATTGATTGTATGAGCACTCATGAATCAAAAGATTTAATGGCAACAAAAACATGGCACCCCCTACTAGACACATGCTGACATATCTTAGTATTTGGCAAATCAAGTTATCTAGTTCTTGACTGTTCATGTTCAGTGTTTTTGTAAACACATGTGGCTTAAGCTTTGAACTGCACTTGTACAAGGTAGCCATCAAGAGCCTCAAAGCTTCGCTTTGAGTTCGTCAAAGCTTACACAATGAGATGCATGGCTCAAGGCACATGTCTCATTGACTAGACCACGAAGACACATATATTGGCCCATGCCGGGACAGCCCAGTTTACACCTTTGGGTCAAATCAAACATGAACCTTGTATCTTGAAGTTTAAGACTGAAAGTTATCATCAGGCCACGAAGAAAAACGTGAACACTTTTCAGGTTAACTTAATTAAAACAAATTTCCTCTTTTGCTTCAATATAAAACATGGAAATGCAGTCCCCATATCTTTGTCAAAGGACTGGGTTAATGGTTGCTTGATTTCTTCTTACATGGTCTTCCATTTTCCAATTTTGTTCATTTTCGTCGAGGACAAATCAGCTTTCCTTTAATAGGAATTTCTTGTCTAGTCCTTTCTCCCTCTAGATAGTTCAATTCAATCAGAAAAATGAAAGTCAACAATGATCAAGTTTTTCGAATCCTACCTACATATATTTTTTGAGCCTTGTATATTGGACAAAAATTCAATTTCCAAGATTTTGGAATAAAATTGTTATTATATTTAGGTTGTGATTTCATTGAATTCATTACTGAATATGACTTCTCCAACTTTTGAAGGGGTGAATAAAAAATCCGGAAATTATTCATATAAAATCAATATGATATATGAAAATTGTAATACATACAGTGGTAGCCAAATTTGAGGTAATGCAATCGTTCAGCCATCTCACTGTGCGGTCAACTGAGGCCCTGTTCCTCTTCTCTGAAACCCAAGCAGGTACTTCATCTGCCAATGTGGCCCACATATTTGGCTTCATTGAAGAAATCATTTGCATATATTCTGCTGGCTTTATCTGTCACTCATTGGAAACATCATTAATTAATTCCAATTTCAACTGCACAAAGAATAACTCTACTTTTTGTAATTGCAATAATGACAATAACAAAATTACGAAACATTACCAGGCGTCGACCACAAGGAGTCTCAAAAGATGCACCGATCTTGTTAGTGCTCCCATAATCTGGAAGGGACAAAATGGAATCCCTCGGAATGGCCACAAATATATGTTCTTTCAAACCAAGCATCTGATGCAGCCCACCAACTTCAGACATCGTTTTGGGAGAAATGGAATCTAAACTGTATTTTAGGTTGAAAAAAATGAAAGGATTAACAATGTGAACGGTGTTCATAACGTGACGCTAGGACCAAATTACAAACACCTACCATGCATCACAAAAATCATGGAAACACAAATCCACTCTAACTTATTACATACACCGTCAATATTACATAGTAAGCACAAAATCAGCTCTAATATTACACGATGTTCATTATATTTCCATCCGAGCCATATACTTATTGTTGTTAATTACTGCCAGGCGACATAGTAAAAATTCTTTCACACCAAAGAGTAAAAGCTTTTGGAATGTTGAATATCCACAAACACACAGATACTTACAAGTGGAGGGGGCTGAATTGAAGGAGGCGAGAGTCTGGGGAAGGAAGAGAAGGCAGGAGGTCAGGGGAAATGAAAACAGGCAGGCCTTTACGGGTAGTGAGGAGGAGAGCCGGAGTTTCTAACTCGCAGCTTCCCACCTGGAGAAGGCCTGCCCGGGCTCTGCCATTGCTCCATGCCTTTACAGCGAACTTCATTGTCTATTTGTGTCTTCCTCTTTCTCTGTCTTTCCCGCCCTTGCCCACCCGCTCCAAGTTTTTCTCCACGAATGCGGGTAAATTGGCTCAAATAGATTTGCTTAAATACGTTTTTAGTCCAAATCTTTCAAATGTGCCATAAATAGTCCCAAAACCTTTTAATTTTTGGCACAAATGATCCTTTCCAACGAAGTCCATTCTAAATGGCATTAGTTGCAATACAATTGCCCATATTTTATTTTTATTTTAAGAAGCAATTCATCAAATGACTTTCTCCACCCAATAATAGAGAGAAAAAAAAAATTGTAAAAAATAAAATTGAAAAATTGAAAAAAATGTAAAAGAACAAAAATATAAAAAACTTCATTTTGATAAATAATAAAACTATAAAACTAATAATTTTAAAACCATAACAGAATTGTTGATCACCATAGTTACTGAATTTGATATTAGATATTTCAATTTACTGAAATTATAGAACAAAAAAAAAATGTGGTAACATTCTCCTTTGAAAAAAACAGCATGAATGAAGTTTTTAACATTATGTCAAAAGAAAATTGGTTCTGCTGATATGATGATATTGTGCATGCATGGAAAAGTTGAATCTTATCATAAATTTCCTGCAAAAATTAATATGTTTTCTTTCTGATATATAAAAAGAACAATCTTTTCGATTAATTTCCTGAAAATCGGTAAACTTAAAATGATGATGAACTTTGGAGTCACAAGAACTGCAACAAATGGAGAAGATGAAATTGGCTTTTCAGAGTTGTACTTGTGAAGAGGAACTGGGCTGCATTATTTACAAATATTTGCTATATATTCGTAAAATAGATTGTGTAATTTGTAGTTTTCATTCAAAGTACTTCAAGTTTAGCAGATCCAGAAGTCACTAGATATAATATGAAGTCTTCCACTTGCCTGCTTATATGAAATAGAAATGACTTTCTTGATTTTTCGACGGTGGCAGTTCAGTAGTGTCATTTGTCCAGACGTGATGTTGCAGTAGTGGCAGTGTGAGTAGGAGATGAATTTTTTTTTCTTTTTCATTTTTTTTTCTAGTTCTTTTTTATAGAAGATCATTTGACGAAATTGTACCTTGAAAAAAAAAAAAAAAAAAAAGGATAATCACATTTCGCCCAGTAAATCTAAAAGGATCATTTGCACAACGTTTGGAAGGTTTGGGCAAAAACTTTATTTGGGCAAAGTCTTGAGACCATTTACGCCATTTTTCTTAATTGTTCATATGTTTGACTTATGTTTATAAATTGTTTTAAGTAAATTATTCAAACATTTTGAGGAATCAATAAGTACTATTCATTTATTAACCACTTATTTATTTTTATTTATAATTTAAGCAGTTTATAAACACTTTCCAAATATGTGTTAAGTGAAATTAAATTTCATTTCATCATTTAAACTAGTGATATTACGCATTATACTACCATAACTTACCTTCCATTTAAGTTATACATGGTACTCTAGAAATGAAAATAGCAAGAATGAAAGTTGTGACATTAATGTCTTTTAGATTAATAGAATAAAATATTCTTGCACTCTTATGACATGATATAATGGTAAATTGGCATGTCACACAACGATTACGTGCATGGGCAGACCCACATGGGTCAAGTGACCCCCAAAATTTTTATTTTTTCAAAATTTCTGTTTATATGGGAAGAAGAGAAATTTTTTTAAATTTTTTTGTTTTTTCCCCCCCCCCCCCCCCCCCCCCCTTTTTTTTCAAGTGTAAGTTTCTTGCTCACGCTCAATGAGTGTCCCTTTTGTTAGTTTATCTGATTATCCATTTGTTAGTGAAATGAATTATTAAGTTTTGGCTTTAGAAATTCTTCAAATATGAATTTAATGGTGAAGAAACAGAGGAGGGTTTCAAACATAAAATAATCTATACAGTTTCTAAACTCGTTTTGGACATCTTGGAGAAGTAAAAATTGCCAACAACTGTGCAGTTTTCGGGTCTAAGATCACAGTTTATGTGTTAGATCCTTGTACCTTTTGGAGGTCTAAGGTTCGATTTTGTTTATCGCATATAATATTTGATTGAAATTAATAAGTCGGTTATTTTCTTTTTTCTGTATTATAGATGGAGGATTTTTTGGAGTTCAAGATTTGGGCAATTTCAAAGTTTACTGAAATTTGGCCTCTTAGGCATAATAGCGTTCGTTCATTTGCTAACAACGTGTTACAATTAGATATTTAGATTAATAAATTATTGCCCATAAATTTCAATTTTCTGCAAAATCCTTACCTCCAACCTTATTTTCTCGCAAAGTATGAAAATGTGTAGACTACAATTGTAATAATAAATTAACTTATTTTTATTGATACGATGTTGTTTAATAAAATGCATTTAATTTTTAACCACACGATGCAAAAAGTTTGGATCTACCCTGATTACGTGAATATCCGTTGTGATATAGCTACTAGTTAAGCAATTTTCATTCATTTGAAATGCGACAAGTGATAAAGTGGTAAATTTTGAATTCCAGAGGCTTGTTTGAAGCTGAATTGAAGTTTAGCCCGAATTGAAATGACTCAAAATTTAGTGAGCCTACTGAAATATCATGAAGGCTCGAGTGAATGCTGATGAAAATATGAACATGAACATTAAAATTACACTAGTGTAAATTTAGATTGCAACGTTACATTTTTTACACTTTTCACTTCCTAGTGTAAGTCATGTCAAAGTTCACATTGGCTCTTTTGCCACGTGAGACACATTCACATAAATAATTTGGAGATCAAGGACTTCACTTTTGAAAGTTGAGGAGCCAAAACCATAATAATAGAAAGTTTAAGAAGTCCAAGTGTCCAACCCTAATTATCTCAAAAAATAAAGACCACCCCAACAACTCAAGAAAGCAATGAATTTGTACATAACTACATCGACAAAATAAAACACGATGTAACAATTTCCATTTAGATGAATTTGCTTTCGTATATTTGAAAATCATCTTCTGGAATACGACAATTATTTATCATAATAGCACTCCAAATAACAAGAATAACGGGCCAATTGATGCCTTCTATCCTCTACCAAAAAAGAGAAGTATATTTATAGCCATTGAGAGTTTTTGTTTGAAACATGTCTATTAGAGAACGTGTTTATAAGGAGATCTTTTATTTTTTCGAACTTCATTGTTGATAGCGCACTCGCTGATTTAGCGACTCAAGAATACAATGCTTGCCGGTATTGAACATAAAACACTTCATATCATGCTGCAAAACGTATGCTTTCAATACCATTTAGTTGAGAACCAAATTCTCTACAAAACATCAACACAAACAAGAATACTCAAATAATCAAGATAAGGCAGCAACTCCACATGGTAACCAGCTCTTTCACTATTCAGAACTTCTTGAAATAAACTTCGAGTACATTACATTTGATTATGATATCCTTGCATTCTTGAGAGATTGGGAAACTATTAAACCTGCTGATGTTCGCATGTAATGCGTTCCAAGCACAGCAACACAAGAGTCGTCTGTCTCGAGGTGAGGTTGGACTTGTTCCCATATCTTTTTCTTCTGAACCTGTATCGGCATATTCATTAACCAACGAGTAGTAAGCCAATAATACAAAAAAGCCACTGCAAAATGCTGCTATGTTTTGTCTTATTTTTCCAATCTGCTATGAGCTTCAACAGTTCAACTTACGAATTCAAGAATGAATTATATCTCCAACTATGTTTTCTACCATGATATACAGGTAGAAGATGCAACATTACATTGCCCAGAAATGTCATAAACAGAAACTATTAAAACAATGACAGCACAAGTAAATTACTTCTTTTTTCCCTAAACCGTTCAAGCTAAAAATAATTATGTCTCACACACACATCCCAATCATCCTCACCATGTAACATCAACCTTTCTCACCTTTCTTACTTTATCACACCAGCTAATTGATATCGTCTAAATGCATTTTTGGTGCAATCTAAATTGGGCACTGGCACTTTTAGTTATCTTTTTTTACCTAAAACAAGTCTGGCACCATTCTAGTCTCTTATCAAACAACCATAACAACATCCATATCGTTCTTATCCTGGGGTCTGTTCTAATCTCATGATGATGTTAATTAAATTTCCATGGTCTTTAAGTCCTTCAAGCACATAACTGACAACCCTTTGTTAATTCAAATTCAATATCCAATAATAGCTTCTCCAAATGCAGCGGGCATAAGCTACAAATCCTTTGCTTTAATCTTGTCGATGACAAAGAATAAACCGCAATTCTATAATTTGCTCTACCAAATTGGATAATTGCAGAAAATGAGGAGGTCTTCAGCCCTTCTGTATAAGAATAGTTTGGATAACATGCAATGAATGCTTTTCATCATCATAATCACCATCTAAAAGTATTACAAGCTTAATTATTCGAGATATGTAGGTGATTAATATTCTTGTTCGTTTGAGATCTTAAATATATATCCTGTTACATGTAACTGTTCTGTGGAATCTGATTCTTAACAAAGATAATTTGTCACATTTTTAATAACTGATAAATTCCACCGATAGTTCCCAATGTTTGGAGTCAGTAGAACTTGGTCCTCGACCCTGATTTTTTGAGCAGCTGACCAAAAACCATCCAAAACAGGTATTGATTTTAATGAAAGACAGTTTTGTCATCAAGTTCCTATAAAGAGAAAATAGATAAAAACAGAAAATAAAAGTTAAGATGAAAAGGAATATGGAACAGAAAGGAAAAAAACACTCTTCAGAACCCCTTGCCCCCCAAAACCCACACCCACCTCCTATCCTCTATACAGTCCCCTCTTGAGCGGTTCAAGATGGTCAGCAGAAATATGGGCAGTGTAGTGTTAGCGGGATAATTGTGGCATGATATTCTATGATTAGTGTATATACCATATTTAGTTAGCATAACTCTTGTAATGGTTGATTCTCAGCCGTGTATTGATGTAATAGGTGATTCTAAGCCTTGTAATTAACAAAATTCTACCTATTTAATGAAGGGAACACTCAAATGAAGAGGCATTCAAAACAGAAAATCATTGAGGTTGACATGTAGGTCTGAAAGGATTGAGCTGGTCCTGAATTGAAGAAAGGCTGTTAAAGGCACCGCTGCTGCATATTACCGATGCTGATGTGGAGAAAATGAGGAAGCAATCAGTTACACATATTATTTAGTGGTTACTTTCTTGAAAGGTTGCACCTCTATTGATTTTCACATTACTTTCAGATCAAGAACAATATTTCTCAAGCATCACCATTTCTTTACATCTTTCCTCTGACACCTCCCAGGCTCAGGATCCCATTGCTGTGGACTAAGCACCTAATCCAGTACTACCAAGAACAGTACAACACAAAACAAAACGAAAACCAAAAGCAAGTAAAGAACACACGAGTTAGAGTGGTTCACTCTCAATGCAAGAGCTACATGGCGGAGGTCCCCTATAATGAAGAAAATGCTACCTCCAGCAATGGTTCCTGCAGTTGCACCAACTCCCCTTCCTCAAGTGAGAAGCCCAATTGAAGTTGCACGTAGCTTTAGTTTCTATGACCCCTAAGTCTTCTCGAATGCTAAAACTACATCTTCTAAACTTAAAATGTACGTTTAATGTATGAAATGAAATCTGAGCTATATATGTTTTTTCATGGCATGATAAACCGTAACTTTGCCAAGTATATAGCACGGCAACTGTTAAAATTCAAGATATTATAATAAAGGCGTTTAGAGTCAAGAAATTTAAGGTAATTGTGCAAAATCTATTGAAACAAAATCCATTCTAAGAATCCGAACCTATATTGAAAAAAAGTTCAACACAAAAATCACCACATTTAAATTAGCTCATTTGAAAAGGAAACAAGTAGAGACAACATTGAAGATCACAAACATTGAGCAGTTATGACTTATGAGAGCCAAATGTTCCCAGCAATATAAAAAAATGGAATTTATAATAGCAACTTACACAAAAGGCTTACCACTGTCAAAAACGGTCAAAATATTTTGCTCAGAGATATTACCTGGTTTGGTGATGCAGCATCAGGTAGGTTCTCTTTTTCTTCTGGAGAACCAAACCAAACTCTTTCACCAGGGATTGCACCCTCGGGTGGCACAAGAAGCTCCACACTCTCATGTGATGCATCGGAAGCAGCCATCAGCATTCCGTTTGACTTCACACCTCGCATATTTCTAGGCTTCAGATTAGCCAGAACAACAATATTCCGGTCCTGCAGTATCAAAATATTCACCACTATACTATTTACACTTAAATTTGAAAAAACTAAAAAGTACAAAATAAAAAATAAAAAAAAATCTTCTGAATGCATTGGAGTTATATTACATTTATGACCATTTAATTGAGTGCACATATGCAAAACTGAGAGAACAGAGGAAAGCAATCATCCACACCAAAAACAATTAATAACAACCAGTGCCATCAGTTAAAAGGGCAATGCATGAAATTTGTTCAGAGGATAAATGGCAATTGCATGAAGCTGTAGCTGTAAAAGTAGCTCACGGATTTAGCATGAAGAAGGACTGGCAGAACATTATGCTGGAAGGTGAAGATTCAAATGGTTTAAGAAAGATTAAATGAGTTTTTCTTAACCATAGCTTCATTGTTGCTAATATCCGAACTTGATAAACTACAGTTTTCGGTTTCCAGGCAAAAAACCACTATGCTATTAAGAAGTATTCACAAATATGAGTAGGATCAATTTTAATAATGCACATTTATATATAGAGGTCCCTCCTTTGTAGTGATGGCAAAAATCCCCACCCCGTGAAGAAAAAAAATAAAATAAAAATAAATGGGGTGGCAAATGGGGCAAGCCGCCGCCCCACCCAGTCTAAGGCGGGGCGGGGCAGGGTGCCCTTTTGCCATCACTACTCCTTTGCTGTAGTTCCCTGATATATTTTGAGGATAAATTGTCTTGCTTATTTGAAAATGTGAATGGATAAACACCTAGCCCTTGTCCGTATACTATTGGCCAAGGTCAAACTCATTTCTCAAAGTGTGGAAAATAATTAGTTTCCATTTTAGTTGTAAATTATTGTAAATCTTAGGATACTAATTCCTGATTCTGTGGGAATTATTTGAGCATAACAGGGATTGAATAGTTAGAGCATTATCAGGGATACTGTAGGAATATTTTATATGTTTCCTTTTTTTGTTAGTTAACCTAGATTTGTACTAGCCTATAAGGTATCTGTTTTGTGACTAAATAAGACACACAAAAATTAATCTCATGTTACCACATGGTAACAGAGCTTTAGGCTTAAATTTTCTAGGATTAGAATCACCTTTTTTTGGCCTTCATTGCCGAACCTGCATAACATCTTTGCTGAATTTATTTTTTCTTTGCATGAAAATCCCTCAGCCTTTATTGCCATTCTTTTTTTCATTCAACTTTCATAATTTTCTAATCCTAATCTTTCTTCTTTGGTCCAAATCCTGGAGATTCAAAGTTTGATGCTTGGGATGAAGAAGAAGAAGACGCTATGATTATGTCATGGCTGTGGAATTCAATGTCACCTGAAATCAGTCACTTGCATGTTTTTGCCTACCGCATAGGATATGGGAAGCTGTTCAACAAACATACTCAAAGGTTAGAGATGCTGCCCAAGTTTACAAGATTAAGATTAAGACTGCTGGCACCAAACAGGGGAACAAATCTGTTACTTAATGTGCTAATATCCTGAAGAATCTTTGGCAAGAGTTGGATCACTACAGGTGCATTCAGATGAAATGTAGTGAGGATTCAGCAATATTGAAGCAGTTTATAGAGAGGGATCGAGTATATGATTTCCTTGCAGGTCTTAATGCGGAATTTGATCAAGTCAGGCACAAATTTTAGGCAAAGAAGAAGTGCCACTACTAAATGAAACCATCTCGTTGGTTCGAGCAAAAGAAAGTAGAAGTGTCATGCTCCAACCTCAAGCTTTGGATGGGTCAGCAATGGTAACCACTAGTGTAAACAATTGGCATTGGGGACCATGTCCAAATCAGAAACAAGCAAATCAAAGACAACTAGCAACTGAAGAGGGAAGGGCAAATTCTTTTAGATCTCAAAATCGTGATGACAAGGACAATCTATGGTGTAGCTATTGTGAAAAATCGCGACACGAGAGGGAATATTGCTGGAAATTAATAGGAAAGCCTCCTAGCAAAGAATGGGGATATAAAGGGGGGCAATCAACCAATCGAGGACAATCAAGCAATGAAGGACAAGCTTACCTGACTAGTACACAACTAAACTTAGAAGCAAAATCAGAGATAGGAGAATTCAATAAGGAAGAAGTTGAGAAGTTGAGAAGCTTGTTGGGGACCCTGGAGAAACAGTCGGGGACATGTTCTTTGGTGCACTCAGGTATGTTGCTCACTTCTCATGGATTAAATGTCTCGGATACACCTTTTTCCAATTCGTGGATCATTGACTCAGGAGTTACAGATTAGATGACCAACCTATCACAAAACTTTAGCACCTATACTCCCTGTCCTAGTAATAAAAAAATTGCAACAGCGGATGGTTCATTAACCCTTGTAGCTGGTTTAGAAGACATACAACTTAACTCCTTTCTTACCCTTAAAAATGTCTTACATGTTCCAAAATTGTCAATCAACCTTTTTATCTGTAACTAAACTCACTGAAGATATGAAGTGTAATGTTGTGTTTTATCCCACTTATTGTATATTTCAGGACCGGGATTTGGGGAAGATGATTGGGCATGCAAAGGAGAAGGGAGGACTTTATTATCTTGATACACTAGGCAGCTCAAGTATTATTAAGAATAATGTACCTTTATCATTACATTCTGAAACTCTTTTAAACAACAAAACCAAGATTTCGCTTCACCATCTCCGTCTAGGATACCCTTCTTTCCAAGTTTTAAAATTAATGTTTCCTTCTTTGTTTCAAGGATTAGTCATTGATAGCTTTCACTGTGCTTTATGCAAACTTGCAAAACACAAACGTGTCTTTTCCAATAAGCAATAAAAGAAGTTCTATTCTTTTTTATTTGGTTCATACCGATATATGGGGTCCTTCCATTACTCATAATGTTCCTATGTTTCGTTTATTGATGATTGCACTATGGTTTCATGGATCTTGTTGCTTAAATCCAAATCTGATTTGAGTCATGTGTCCCTAACTTCCATAATATGATCCAAAATCAATTTGGGGTCAAAATCAAGAGAATTAGGTCAGATAATGCAAGAGAATGCATAATGCTTATTCACAAGCTTGAGGGGAGTGTGGAAAATAATTAGTTCCCTTTTTAGTTGTAAATTATTGTAAATCTTTCCTGATTCTGTGGGAATTATTAGAGCATAATCAGGGATCCTGTAGGAATATTTTATATGTTTCCATTTTTTGTTAGTTAACCTAGATTTGTACTTGTCTATAAGGGCATCTATATTGTGACTGAATAAGACACAAAAATTAATCTCATTTTACCACACAGAGCATTAAATTTATGTATTTATGCATGCATTTAAAAATAAGTTTCTTAATACCAACAATTGAGTTTCTACTATCTCATTATTATTGATATCGAATAAATCAAGATATACTGTTATCTTCTGCTTTTGTTTTTTATTATTATTATTATACTCGAAAAGTCAAATGACATCAATTAGTCTGAAAATTTCTGTAGATCTCTGCTTGAAAATTTTTGCCACAAGTCGTAGCCATAGTTCTTAGAGGAAGTTTCTAATCGAGTAGCAGGGAAGGAAGCACATGAAACGGAACTCCCTCAGGGAAGGGCTTCAGCATTCTCTTTGTCAAGCTTGGAGAAAGTATGAAGCAAAAAAATCAGGTGTCTATAATGGATGAGAATAAATTTGACTCGACGCGATAGAGCGAGGGGTTTATGCTAGTTACCAACAAAGCAATATGGCACTTTATATTAAGAATACAGTTCCACAATTGTTTGCCTCAAGAGTTAAGCCTAACAGTTACTAGAAAGTTAAACCGGGTGAAATACTTCACGAAAAGGTCCCATGAACTTGAGCATACAGTTAACTTTATAAAAGAAAATCTAGAGATGAAAATTTCAATAAAAAACCCCAGATTTTAGATTCGATTTGAAAACATAACTTCACGTTGCTATAAGAGGAAGAAAAAGTTTCATTCAGGGGAAAGAAAAACATGGGAAAGTTGATTAAGGTCTCAAATTCAAACAGAGTATTAGCACAATCCATTCCCACAGAGAATACGTATCAATATGATAATTTCAAGTTAATTATATAAACACCTAAGAATAACGAAGAACATATTTCATACGAAGCATCAATCTGCAAACTGGCATTTCACTGAAATGAATAAACAAGTCCGTGAATCCACCGATAATCAAATCTTTTGGGACACAGATAACAGCAAATATGAAATGGGAATATAAGATCAATGTAAAGTAAATGACATTATTTTTAGTTATAAAGATGGGATCTAACTCTGATATTAATAAATTACTGAATAAATGGACAGAAAAATGGAACCTGTAGAAGGTGAAGAGGGACATATTTAACAAGGCCGCTACAAATGATTCTGGGCTCGGGCTCGCCAACGTCCACTTCCTCGACGTAGAGGGAATCGGCCTCCTCGTGCCTCCACGCCTTTAGGATTCTTCCCACCCGGATGTCCAGCGTGTTAGCCGCCTCTCTTATCTTCTCCACCGTTAATTCTCCATTATCCTCTTCGTTCTTAGCATTTCCTTCATCCGACGCTACAATTGTATCCAACGCATTCGGAGCTGTGCAGTAGCACATCATTCCTTTTGGTAAACTTGTTTTTGTTTGGTCATAAAAATCCCTATGCAGGGAAATGGGAAGTGGGGGAGCGGCAACTGGTGTAACGATTGTACTACGTATACGATTATTGATAATTCTGGCGGTGGTGGGAAGGAGAAAAGGGCAGCGGCGGAGGATGTGGTGGTGGTGAGAAGACAACAAGAATGAGCCACTGCCTTTGAGCAGATGATTGGTAGTAGTAGTTGAGACCATCACTGCCAAATTCTACTATGCTCTTTGCAACTCCTCCGTTTTGCCGAACTGATTGGATTTCATGGGATTGGATCATTGGAAGGATTACATTTTTATTTTTAAAATTT